CTATCAAGCGCTGCTTCCAGTGCATGAAATTGTACTCATTCAGCACAGGCATTCCTAGCTTTGCATCACTATCAAAAGCTGCTCTAGCCATCTTAAAATCCAAAATTTGAAAATTCTTCAAAATTTCAAAATTTCTCAAAATTTTAAAATCAAAATCTCAAAAATCTCAAAATACGAAACAATTCTTCACTGCCTTGGGTCACTGTGAACTCTGAGGGAAGGGGGTGGGTTGCTTAATCCCCACTGCACAATGGAACAAAGGACCATGTGCTTACCAGGAAGTTAACTCAGAAAAATACTACTCAACTCAAAATCACAATCCAATGCAATCCTCCAAAAATACGCAGAAATATGCAATACTGGGGCCACTAACCCTTTGTGGGAATGTTCTGGGGTGCAGGAAAGGATATATTGACTAATTATATCCTGATCCAACTTGTGCTAACAAGTTCCCAAAATATCAGCAGAGTTTACATACATTCCCCTTTAGTACGCAACGGTAACGTGTGCACAGGTTCGCTAGAACCTTTATAATAATTACCCTGGTAATTTCCCCTTTAGTTCCCTCTTAAAATACAAGACACGACACAGTCTTCATAAAAGTATAAAAGAGTTTACTCACGTCCTGTTCACAATGTGATCCCAGACGGCAGACAGGCTTAAAAAGGTTACATAGATTTAGAATCTATCTCATAGCAAGATAGGCCTTATCTCCTCTCTTGGCTGGGAGCCAAGAGGGCATCCTTAGGTGTTTCCTCGTCGAAGGAAAATGGCAGAGAGAGAGAGATGGCTGCCTGCCCTGTGCTTTTTGTCATCACCTGCACAGGTGAGGCCACACCCACCTCTGGTCACATGCGGAGGAAGTCTGTCCCCAGGAAGTTTACCTGCTTGCTGGACAGACATCCCCCCCATGTTCTAAACATGTACACTCTAGGAATGTTGTCATTGACTGCTCCTGTGTATACATCCCACACATTCTAGGGTTTGTGTGGCTTTTAAAGGGCTGAATTACTCTAGCACAGGGGTAGTCAACGTAAGGCCCATGGTCCGAATGCAGCCCAGTCGCCTTCTCAGTCCGACCCACGGATGGTCCAGGAATCAGCGTGTTTTTGCATGAGTAGAATGTGTGCTTTTATTTAAAATGCATCTCTGGGTTATTTGTGGGGCATAGGGATTGGTTAATCCCCCCCCAATATAGTCTGGCCCCCCACAGGGTCTGAGGGACGGTGGACTGGCCCACACTGAAAAAGGTTGCTGACCCCTGCTCTAACAGAAAGCTATTAGGGGCCACATTCCAGTAGGGAGTTGGGTTAGACTGTTTCCTATCAGAACAAATGCAAATATTTAATTCTTATAAACACCACAAAAATTTTATATTCCATTTTCTCCATTGATTCTTTCTCCATCTTCTTTGGTGTGTGGTCTAAACCACTGAGCCTCTTGGGCTTGTCAATCGGAAGGTCAGCGGTTAAAATCCCTGCGACAGAGTGAGCTCCTGTTGTTCTGCCCCAGCTCTCAGCAACCTAGCAGTTCAAAAGCATGCTAGTGCAAGTAGATAAATAGGTACCACTGGGGCAGGAAGGTAAACGGCATTTCCATGTGCTCTGGCTTCCGTCACGGTGTTCCTTTGTCCCACAAACGGTTTAGTCATGCTGGACACATGACTCAGAAAGCCGTCTGTGGACAAATGCCGGCTCCCTTGACCTGAAAGCGAGATGAGCGCCGCAACCCCATAATCACTTTTGACTGGACTTTACCATCCAGGGTCCTTTACCTTTTTATCCCTCCCAGCTGCGCAAGAGGTGAAAAGAACTCAGTAATCCCAGCAGAAGGAATTTTTAAAAGGTAAATGCAGGTAAGCCTTGGCTTGCAGCTAGTTAAAGCCCCAAACTTCAAAATAAGCAACTGTTTCTGTAAAACTGCAAGTATACAGTTGCAAAATGCATCCCCATTCATTGTTACATATTTGCAAGGAACACATATCTGTTGATACACAGTTACCCCTCTGCTTTGATTTTCTTACACAAGGTACAAAAAGACCGGGAATGAGAATTTTATTCCAGAGTTGAAATACTTTATTCATATCCATTGCTATTATGGATTTTAAATTATTTTTAATGCAGGGTTTTTATTTTTAATTGATGTTATTGCATGCTTATGACTGGGTTTTATGTTTACTCCTATATCTGTCTGCGTGGAGGTAAGTCATATTGAGCTAAATAGAGCTTAGGCCCACGTAAGTGGATAGAGGATCACAGTTAAATTGTTGTTTGCCACATATTTTTAAAAGCCTCCAGGGTGGGGCTGACTATAAATTGAAATAAAAAGTTCAAAAAGAACTGAGAATAAACAGAGGATCTTCCTAGTGTTGCCCCCCAATGTCAATCAATCAATCAATCAATCAATGTTATAAAATCAGTGTTATAGAAATATTGCTGGAAGTATTCCCTTATGTGGGATAATTTTAGTAATAATGATAACAACAATAATTTTTACCCTGCTCATGTGGCTGGGTTGCCCCAGATACTCAGGGCAGCTTCCAACAGGTATAAAAACATAATAAAACAGCAAACATTAAAAACTTTCTGATACAGAGCTGTCTTCAGGTATCTATGCAAAGTTGTATAGTTGTTTATCTCTTTGTTTATCTTTTTGACATCTGATGGGAGGGTGTTCTACAGGGCGGATGCAACTACAGAAAAGGCCCTCTTGTCTGGTTCCCTGTAGCTTCACTTCTTGCAGTGAGGAACCTAGGGTTGCCATATTTAAAAAAGTAAAAACCAGGACACCCTGAAAGGTTCCCCCCCTTACAAAAACGCCAAAAAACCCACAATTTTTTGATTGACTTGCTTAAGATCGAGGACAAAGTGCCACCTTTCGGAAATTTTCCCCAGACGTCAATTCCGCCTTTGAAATCCCAGTAATGTTTGGACATATGTCAGCACTTGGAAACCGCCAGAAGGCCTTTGGAGTTGGATTTCAGTGTCCAGGCTGAAAAATGAGGGTGGAAATGTTCACTCAAGTAGACTTGCATTATCCAAAGGCTTAGGGCACAAAGCAACATCTCCAGGTGTCATTTTTTTTATTTTATATAATATTTCCTCCAAGTTGCTCAAAGTGGAGCACACAATTTTCTCCCACTCCATTTTACCTTCACAACCACCCTGTGAGGTAGGTTAGGCTGAAAGGTTACCCAGTGAACATAACACAGCTGAGCAGGGATTTGTACTCTGGTACTCCTAGGCCCTAGTCTGACCTTCTCACCATTACACCACATTGGTTCTCAGCATCAGGAACAGTGTTTTGAGTAGGGATAGTCTGCATGATGCCTGAGTCCCTTTTACTTTCTGGGGTCCTGGATCCCTTTTACTTTCTGGGGTCCTGGATCCAGCTAGGGTTAAAATCTAATGTGGGATTCCATTGTTGTACTGGTCAGGCAAGCTTATTTGTGAAATGTTGGCCATAGTTACTTCCATCAGTATAAGAGAAGTAGTGCTCTGGGTGAGAGCTGAGCCAAAGGAAGGCAGCAACTAGAGAGACAGAGTCATGCTTGATTCCAAGACTGTGACTCTGGGGGAAGCAAGTGCTAATGCTAAGAGCCTCTCAATTTTAGGCTCTTTAGGTTGCACATATGTGTAATATGTGCGTGTGTGAGTAAGTAAAACAAACCATATGTCATAAAGACACCACAGTCTCTGCCATCCCACATTCCAAGGAAACCAGACCCTGGGCACATGCCTGGAATCCCTCACCTCTCAGAGTTTGGAATGGCATGCAGCAATATTTACATTTACGATCCTGGCCAAGTCAGTGGTGGCTAAGTCAATTGCCCTATGGCTGGCTCAGTAAACAGTGACTTGCGCAGGCCTGTTCTGTGAATTGACAAATGGACTAACGTTCTTATTCACCACACTTCTTGTCTACTTCTTCTAGAAGCCAAATTCCACAATGGCAGCCGCAAATTCTATTGCCACGAGGGGGTCAGTCTCATTGAACTCAATGGCCGGCAGTAAAATTGCACACTTTGATTAGAACCCATCTCTTAATCTGAAATTGAACAGGCATCACCCCAGCTCCTCCCTGCCAGATTCTAGATATTCTTAAGAGCTGCACTGTTAGGCTTCCCTTTTCTTGATTTTGCAGCTCATATGCAGAATTCTGGGAGACTGTAGACTTAAACTCCGTGGCGGCTCCTTTATATCTCTCACGATGGGAGGTCCCCTCGGGGCAGAGCAACGCCTTTCCATTCTGCCGCCTGCCAACAAGCCTTCCTGCCTCCACAACCTCCAGGGATGGACGTGGCTCCCCTGCTCCTCCCGCCCTTGGCTGCTCTGAACTCTTCCGAGGAGAAAAGCGTGGGCGACACCTTCGAGGGAGCCAGGGAGCGGATCCGGCAAAACGAGGCATCTCGCGCATTCTGCACCAAAAGGGCGAGACCGAAATGCCTTCATAAGCAACCTGACGTCGTTTGGGACAAAGTACAATCTCAGACGGCAGGCTTCTTTCTGACTGCATTTACGCATTTGATCTTCGCGTTTGCCGAGCGCTTTCCCCAATAGCCAGGCATCGAACAGCAGCCAAGGGCGAGATTTCCCACCGGCGCAAGCTTCACCACGTCTACTCAGAAGTAATTCCTACTGAATTCAATGGGGGGGAGGTTCAGGAACTGCAGCCTAAACCCTTGAGGACTCGAGGCTGGGATCGCAACACCCACTTTTTACGCGTCTCCACAGGGCACCCCCTCAGCCTCTACCTGAGCTCGGCGCGCCTCTTCATAAGGCCCGGTTCGCGCTCAGTTCTCGCTCCCTGTTTCTCCCGCCCCTCCACCTCCTCCGTTGACGGACAGCTCCCGAGGCGCCTTGTCCCGCCCTCCCTTCCCAGCTCCTCGGCGGCGATTGGCGGCGGGCTTGGCCGGGGATTGACACGCCGTGCCCGCGCCCTCCAGCGAGGGCGGAGCCGCGCGATTGGCTGGTTCAGTGTGTGTGTGTGTTGCGCGCGCGCACGCGGGGAGTGGCGGCGGCGGCGGCGGCGGGGACTCTTCCCCGCCCCCTTCCAGCAACCCCGCAGCGCTGCCTGCCGGAGAGCGGGGCGGCTTCCAGTTGAGAGATGGCGGCCACCGCGGGCAGATCGCTGCTGCTCCTCCTCTTCTCGAGGACCCCCGGCGGAGGAGGAGCGGCGCTGACAGCCGCCGGCTGCTTCCCGGGGCTGGGGAGGCACCGTCAGCAGCAGCAGCGGCACCGGACGGTGAGTGTCCCCCTCCGGGCGGAGGCCGGGAGCGGGACGGCGGGACAGGTATTGCCAGGGCGAGCCAGGAGGAAGGGACTCGTCCGCCCGTCCGCTGCCCTTCCTGCGAGGCGCTTGGGGTGGTGGGGGACGCGGGACGTGCCCGGTGCCGCCGCCGCCGCCGCCCGTCGGAGCCTCCTGGCTCTCCCCTCCTCCCGGGCAGCCCAGCCCTTTCCAGGGTCCGCCCCGCCAGCGGAGGGACCGCCCGCCCGGGAGCAAGGGCGACCCCTTCCTCCCTCCTCCCCGTTGGGTTTCCCTGGGCGCTTTCGTGCCTCTCCTCAGCAGCGGCGCCTCGGACAGATCAATGCACCTCGCGCGGCTGGCTGGCTGGCAAGGGAGAGCGAGAAGGCGCTGCAGGCTGCGGCGTGCAGGGGCAAAGAGGCGGAGGAGGGAGACGCCGGCGCTGCTGCTGCTCCTGCTGCAGCAGCAGCAGTGACTTGGAGGAGTCTTTGCTTGCTTGCATGCTCCCCCCTCTCCTTCCCTCCCCCTCTTCTCTATCCACCCCGGTGCTGCATCCCCTTTTTATCTTAGCACACCAGCCGTGCCCCTCCTTACGTGGGCCCGTCTTAACTTGATGACAGGCTGAAAAGGGGGGTGGTGGTTCACAAGTTGCTCGCGAAGGAGCGTTTTTGGATGTGGGGGGGGACATTGGCTTTGTTCCAGTTTTTCATTCCAAAGGGACAGGGTCAGGAAGCCTGCTGGGCGATTTCCTTCTTAATTCACCCCTTCGTTCCAGGAAGGGAAAGTCAGTGGGGAAATGGCACAGGGGTCTTTCCGCCTCCTCTCCCCCCTCCCCCTCTCTCTTCAGGCTTCTTAGAGCGACAGTATGTCGTGGCTGCATTCCAACCAGTGATTCCTCCCAGTTGTAGGAAGTCTTCTGTCCCCCTGCCCTTTCTCCTGAGAAAGTTATCTGTTAAGCTGAATCAATGCAGAACCAGGCTGAGCTGAATGCAAATCGCTGTGCAGCAGCGCTCCGTTGTCTGAGGCTTTTTGCCTGTAATGTTCCGGTTGTCGAATGACTGAAGTGCATTGGTCTGTCAGGATGGGTGAACTCAGGACTGGGACGGAATCCAGCTGATCTGAAAGTTCAGTTACCTCTGGCAGCAGGGAAGCTGCACATGGCAGCCAAGAGTTCACAAGCGAAACTGTAAAGATGATACAAAGGTTGTATGTTTGTGTGTGGGCCTGTTGCTGAACTTTTGTGGAGTACTTCCCCATGGCTACTATGGAAGCTTTGGCGTCTTCCTAGTTAAGCCCCACTTCCTGGTCTTATGGTTGCATTCAATTAAACTATGTAGTGTGGATCGTATTTCAGCGTGTCTAGGGAAATTCAGTCAATGTAGACTTTTATGTAATGATAAATGTCAGAGCTGCTATGTTGCTCCCTCCACCCAAAGCTCTTTAAAGGATTCTCTGCAGCAGCCTGTTAGGAAGTCCTTGCTCTCCTGTGATCTAAAAGGCCAGCCAGCGTTTTAATTAAGTTGCTCAAATAAAACTGATGAAATGTACACTATAGAAGCAATTTTGATGGAACTAGAGAAGAGCACAAGGCCCCATGTATGTGGTTCATCCAGATTTTACTACGCTATATTCTTTTGTTCGGTCAGGTTCATAAGCACTTTGTGTTGGTTTAACACTGAGTACAGGGAAATGACTTTCAACCACATATGCCAGAATAAGTTTGATATAGCCTACCATAATAGCTTTTTGTTTTGCAACAGTGAAACAGGTCAAAGCCGCTATGCAGAAATGAAATTTTCAACAAGATAGTAAATGGTAAAGTGGCTCGTAACAAAAACTTACTCACATCGAGTGATCTTAGTAATTTTCCTCCTTCGAAAGTTGTAAAACTTTGCAAATCTGGTATACCAAGATCTCAGGTAAATAGGTTCCTTGTTCTACTTGACATTTAATGCTTTTATATCTCATAACTTTTACTTTTTGCGACCTGCGGTTTTGACATGTTAGGCCAAATGCAGAAGAATAAGTCATTCTAATGAAAAAGGTGTCTTATTCAGGATCTGCTAGACTTCATTACTTTAGCTAAATGTTGATAACAGAATCTAACAGAAATATAGTATTAGGCTTAAGTATAAAAAAGCTTCAAAAAGTAAACTATTGTGTTGTCCCCACCCCCAATCTTAATGATATTGAAGGGAGAGATTTATTGATGTATTAATAGGTCACTGATCACAGTCAACCAATGGATCATCTTTGTTACTGGACTGTGTTGCTGGGAAATCAAATTGTTTTTGATGAACATGGCTGCATGGGTTATTTACTGCCGGTGTAACAATAAAATCAGGAATGCATTTGAAACACAAAACAGCTTATTTCAATGCTCTTCTTGTCAAATTACTTTGTTTCATTTTCTCCATGTCACAATCAATCATTCTCAAGCCATAAAGTCTACATGATGTTTGAGAAAAACAGGCCAGTTGTGTAGTGTGTTCAGTTTGTTTCAAGGTTATATTATTTTTTTTCCCATTGAGCAATCATCCTATGTATGCAGTAGATGGCACTCTGCATTGTGCTGGTGGTTTATAGGAGACCAGGATAGTCTCTGACGACTTGGCTATTCTAGTATGCGATGGGAAGGAATGCTGAAGTTGATTGACCTGTATCTGGCAGATAGCTCATGGATCTCTATGGCCTCTATGGTCAGGTGGAAGAGCCTCCTCTAGTTGACCTGGCAGAGTACAGATTTTTAATCAGGTTGGGAAAACCAGAGACAGGCAGCTGGATCCTGTTTGTACTACTGATGACAGAAACCAGTATGCTCTCAAAAGCATTTGGTTATATGGGTTTGACCCTGTGAGTGAGATGGTTTGCCACTTGCTATCGGCTTTTTAAGATGGAGGGACAACCGTAAAGCCAGTGAACTTTACTTATTTGTCCTCTTTCTAATGAGCAGCAGTCTGAGCTCTGGATAGGCAGATTTCTCATACGCATGCCTGCTCGTTCTTGAGCTCCTGCCCATCTTCTGCGTGCTGTTTTTTGCACTGCGTAAGGTATCCTTTTTTTATCCATATGGTTAAGGAATGTGGTTTCTGTAATGAATGATAAACAAATTGAGGGAACACCATGTGACTTCTTGGGAACTGGAAGAATTCCTTCAGTGCCTCTGCTTTCTGCAAACCATACAAAACTAGTGCATCTGTTGTCAGCCTAGGAGTATAGAACTCCAACATGCTGCCTGTGTATGTAAGGGGTGGACTTTCTCCTTGCCCTGGCTTAGCACAACATTGAGGCTATAGTGTAGCTGCCCTATAAACCTCAACTTGGTTAGCAGATGCATACCAGGATTTGCAGTTCACCAGGGAAATATCACCTCCTGGTGGATGGATTAAAGAGTACATAGTGATAACATTTGTCACAGTAGAGTGACAACTGTTACAACTGACCAAAATGTCACAAAACAGGCAGCAAGTCCAAAGGTAGGCGTTACACAATTGCAGTGGTTCTCAAACAACCCCCCCTGGGTCCACACTTTCAGAATAAAAAAACAACAAAAACACACCAAGGTTTTTAGTGATAACAATGGAAAACAAAACAAAAAACAACTCCTAGCAGGGCTTGATCTATAACATAGAACACAGCTATTTTATAATAAAACAATGCAGCTACATAAGAACAGGAATCATTCATCACAATATAATTATAAACAAGCCTCTTACATATGTACCTTAAGTATGTATACAAACTCAATGAGAGGTATAAGCTTTAAGTATCACTTGTCGCTCTAGCTCTGATTTTGCAAATAGAAAAATGTTTTTGATGAGCATGGTGTACTATACTATACTATACTATACTATACTAAAATGTCTCTTTTGATTGTCCTGTAATCTTCCTGCCGCACTTACCATCCTTTCCTGCCGCACCCTTTGAAAAACCACTGCAAAATTGTGACTGTTTGATTGAATCCATTTTTCTCCTTGGTATTTGTGCTCAAATAGATTCTGCATCTATAGTTATAACTAAGGAAGCATATTCTCTGACAGTCCCCTGATTAGATCCATAGCTCCTTAGCTTCATTCAGAAAGTCTGCTGCATCATGTATCTTCAGATCATGCCTGTGGGACATATTCAAAGTAAATCTTTGAAAACAGTACTTAACAAGGCCTAGTTAAAGAGCAGATTTAAAAACAAAACAAAACCAGACATGCATATAGCAGAGTATTCTTTTCCACACACAAAAAGAGAAGATTTTTTTATCTGAGAAGCACAGTCAAGGCTATTAAAAAATGGGGGAAGGGTACATTCTGGGACGAGCTCTGCTATGTCCCCAGGTGAACTTTTGAATCTGCTCTAGGGTTAGTGATTTCACTCAAACTGAGCTGTAATTCCTAGTTTTCAAGTAAACTTGTGGAGATTTTCCAGTGTGGTGTAGTGGTTAAGAGCAGTGGACTCATAATCTGATGAACCGGGTTCGCTTCCCTCCTCCTCCACATGCAGCTGCTGGGTGACCTTGGGCCAGTCACACTTCTCTGAAGTCTCTCAGCCCCACTCACCTGACAGAGTGTTTGTTGTGGGGGAGGAAGGGAAAGGAGAATGTGAGCTGCTTTGGGACTCCTTCGGGTAGTGATAAAGCGGGATATCAAATCCAAACTCTCCTTCTTCTACGCAAATAAGGGAAATGTGTGTGTGGTTTTGGGGGGAGCATTTTGCTATGGTGAATGATAAATGCGTTCCTGTCTGTTTTGCTGCATGCTGACCCAGCCCTTGCCAACCTGGTGCCCTCCAGATGCTGTTGGACTAAAACTCTCATCAATCAGTGTTAGAAACTCAGATATATAAGCCTGGTGCCAAATGGCTCCTTAAAACAAGGTCACAGTTTCCAAAGTGGAATGACTTGTTGCCATTTTGGGACAAGACTGCTCTAAAGTCTTTATTTTTTCAAATGATGGGACTGACTGTGATTGATTATCAGCTGAACATCTGGCTAGTTCAGATGACACCCT